TCCAAAATTAGGATACCAAAGCTGTAGACATCTGATTTAACAGAGAAGTGTCCATGTATTACATACTCAGGTGCCATGTATCCGCTGTGATGGTTAGTTTGTAAGTATATCATTAGCCTCGAGTTTAATAAAATAATCATCTAGCTATGTTTAGTTATTAACATGACCATATACGTTTAGTTTTGTGCATCACTTCATATTTTCTTTTTCATAACAACCACTTTGTAAAAATAAACTAAATGATACTATGAGACATGCACTTTGTAAATTGCTTACTATGTTCCTACTATTCTGCTAGTGCTGTGCTGAGTTTCGTTCGGGACAAATAATCTTGCCATACCAAAATCTGAAATTTTGGCGTTCAACTCTCCATCTAACAGAACGTTGCTAGCTTTGAGATCTCGGTGAATGATCCTAAGCCGAGAATCTTCATGTAGATAAAGAAGTCCCTTAGCAACACCACTGATAATTATGTAGCGCTTTTCCCAATCCATACACGGACTGTTTGGATCTACAATAATGATAATTACCCTCAAATAACAATAATTATGCTCTAATTAATTAGCCATACATACATGAGCAACCAGATTGCTTAAGAATTTTGAAAAATGATTTACTTAAAAGAATAACAAAATCTTACCAAATATAAGGCGGTCGAGACTTCCATTCTGAACCCATTCGTATATAAGAAGTCTTTCATTTCCTTCAACAGTGAAACCCAAGAGCCTAACCAGATTCCTGTGTTGAAGTCTCGCTAGTAGCAAGACCTCATTCTTAAATTCCAAGTCACCTTGCCCTGAATCATGGGACAACCTTTTTACTGCGATTTCGTTTCCTTTTGGGAGTTTTCCCTGAGATTAAATGATATGTGAAAATTACATGAACTTCCAAATAGTTTATTATGTATGACACCTAACAATTCAATTAAATACTTAACCTTGTAAACAATACCAAATCCACCTTCCCCCAACTTGTTAGCATCAGAGAAATTGTCTGTTGCAGCTCTTATCGTACTAAAATCATATTGTAAGGATTCAATAGTACTGATCTCCCCATCAACTTGACCAAAGTATAAAGAAATATCTCAGGTAAATTGTAATTAAAAAATATCATAGATAGGTGTGGACCTACGTAAAACTAGAAATGTAAACTTACGGTCAACTTTTTCCCATGTACGATTTTTTTTGGTTTTTAAATAGATACCAATGCAAAGAGCAAGTATTAGACAAACAACAATTGGAACGATGACAATAATGATAGTTCGAGTTTGATTTTCCCCCTTCCCTGCAAAATCGATATAAAACTATGTTAATACCATTTTTAATTTATCTTTATTTAATCAAAATAATAACCTCATTAAGTTATATGTTAGATAAAAAACAAGAAACAGACGCCAATGTTGAAATGGGTTAAATAAATTTAATTTGGGCACAAATTATCCACTGCCTCCGTCATTGAGCTTCCGTTTGACTGATTTAAAAATCTACCAATTATAGGTGAGAAACATTCACTTTCCCATTTTGTCCTTGTACCTTTTCTTTTGGCAGCTATACCCTTTTTCAATCTTCATATTTTACATTAATAGCACTAATATATGCATTAAGTTATTATTCTAACTTATCATTTAATATCTATTCTTAGAATATCTCTAAGAGACTCTGAAAGTATAAGGCTCTCTATTCTACAAAGTCAATATTTAAAATTATGTTCTAATAAACTCTATAAATTTGCATTTTAGAAACTGAGTTTGGCTCTCCAAATTTGAAAAGCTAAACTCACTTGCTATAATTAAATGCATTCAAATTATATCAATTTTTAATGGAAGAAAATAATACAATAATTTGGAGGGAAG